ATTTTGTTAAAGTTGGAACTGTTGCACCGTCCGTTTCACATTTCTGTTAACATTGTACGTCGAGTAACTCTAACCCCTGAGACACAGGTTACCACCTACTTCAGGGGTGGATTGTATCGCCACCAACTTAGACACTGTTGTACCAAACCTGTTTAATTATAATCTATGCCATGCAACATGTTCTATTTTTAAGTACAATAAATTATTATTATTATTATTGTAGTGCTGTGAGTTGTCAACTGATATTAGTTTATACGCGTGTCGATGCGAGAAGTAAATCGCTGCGTAATCAAAAAGGTTGTATATCGTATCGTATACCGTAACCAACTGAACCGCTTATATCAAATTTGGTTCCCAGACCTGTGTTATATAATTAGGTTTACTTGTTAGGTTAACTCACCCGGCGTTCGGTGAATTTGTGGAAGGTGTAAAGGTTCGGATGAGTGCGATTGCTAATGTTGTTATCGCGCTTTGCCACCAGATCCCAGGACACGCAGCCAGCTATTAAAAGCCGCCCCGGTGGCTTGTAGAACGTCTTCAGCAATTCCTGCAAAGAACATGGTGTTGGCATAGAACATCGAGTATATCCCTTCGGTACAATTGTTCTACTTTCCCGATCGTTCCACTTGTTTTTACCGATTCGTCTATTTCCCATTTCGTCTACTTTCCCATTTGGTCTACTGTCCCGATAGGTCTACTTTAATGATGCGCCTACTCAGATGATAATCTCAGTACAGAGTACTAAAAAACCGACCTCAAAAGTTTGAAATCGGTTACCGGAAAGTATTTGAAACCGGATTCACTCCCCAGTTTGCAGTCCTTAGAGATGGAATATTTTCTTCAAATTTAAATGGGACCACTAATGAGGTACCCTTTTTCCAAGAAAAAAAGAATCATCAAAATCGGTTCACAAATGCCGTTGACTTATCGCGTAGCAAACATTAAAAAAATACAGTCGAATTGTGAACTTCCTCCTTTCTTTTTAAAAGTCGGTTAAAAACAAACTGTTTCCTTGATTTTGTTTTTTCAAATCATGGTTAACGTAAAGCGGCCATCATTATCAAAAATATAAAAAAATGCACTCCATGACAATCTGCAATTTCAAACTGCCTTTGAACGTTTGTAAAACTATTTTTTTTTTTGTAAAATTATTAATTTCATAAAATTTTATTAACTTGCAAGGTGGACTATTTCAACAAGTGGACCGATCGGGAAAGTAGACGAAATAGGAAATGGGCGAATCGGGTAAAACAAGTGGACCGATCGGGAAAGTAGACGAATAGTGAAAGTGGACCGAATGGGAAAGTAGACGAAATGGGAAATAGACGAATCGGGAAAGTGGACTATTTGGACAAGTGGACCGATCGGAAAAGTAGACGAATAGTGAAAGTGGACCGATCGGGAAAGTAGACCGATTGTACCGAAGGGGAGCATATAACCAGAAATAGAGACAAAATAAGGGCTCTCCACCCCTGGCAACTCATCAGGCAAATGGGCCTTATATCACTTTTAAATATCAACTCTTGTTTGCACTGAAATCACAAATAAAAAAGCTGAAATAGTACAGCGCCAACAACTGACCTGTATGTACGTCTCCGTATATTCACAAAATATTCTGTATTTATTGTAATAAAGATAATATCTCTAAAAATGGGAGAGCTGTTCCATTCTGTGGTGCGGGAAAAATAGCAAAACATCTAAATACAAAACAAACGGAACCATATTTAATCAGTAATTAAATATTATATATGTAATTTTCCAATTTTCGTCCCATTGTAGCAAAGCTCAGGTTAAACTGGTCGATTTGAAGTGAAACAATTGACTTGTTCGTTTCGAATTCGGGCTGGCCTGTCGGAGCGTAATTGTCACCGTAATGATTTGGCAGAATAGTTTTCAAACAAATTAAATTACATTTCGTGTCTATTTCTGGTTATATATTCGATGGCATAGAAATTAGTTTTTTTTTGGTAAATAACGGACGTGGGTATAAAAGCAACCGGCTGATAGCCACTCGATGGTTTAAGAGCCTTCGGCTCGCTCATTCATCCAGTGGCGCAGTCAAGGCCATCAGGCTAACTGTAAAAGTGTCCTTCAGGAAAAAAAACCGCTCGACTCACTCTTTTGGCGGTATTCCTCGAAGCAATATCGTGCTCAACGCATCCCAAGTGTATCGAGGATAGCGTCGAATATTTCACTCATTTGATGCTACACTGACGCAACTGTACATCTTGTTATATTACAGGAGATGGATTTGAATAGATTTTTTGAATTTGTTTCAAATTTATGACATGTTAATAAAACTTTATGTATTTTTACAATACATATAAACTTAAAATTTCAGCAATTTTTACATTAGTCATAGACGTTTTGACACACTTAAAATAATTTTACCAAAATTTATTACGTCAATGTGGCACCAAAGGAGGGATTTGTATTATAGCTTGTTTTGTTGACATTTGTTACTTTGGCTTACAGTCCACGGCAGCGTCATTTGACGAATGCATGCAAGCTGCAAATGACGACATGCGTATTTTGCATCTTAGTTCTGTCCACATATTGTTCAATAATACGAACAAAATTACCCGTTGATGCCGCCATTTTGCGAAATAAACACGTCTTTGGATCTCGCAATACGCTCGAGTAGTGACATGCTGCCGCACGAGCTTCATGACGAACGCAAATGCGGCGTTGTCACCCCAGTGAACACAGTTTTGTTCGTTTCTACGCAAGATGCAAGCATGCAGCACGCAAGCGTAAAATGATGATAGCGTGCGTATGACAATTAAAAATTATTTTAATAAGTTAAATCTTTTTGTAATGTTTTCCTGCTTTGGAGTCTAACAATAGAAGTTACGTTACTTCATCTCAAACTCAGATTCCCTTGAGAAGCATGAGTAAGAAGCTCTCACCCTCTTAGGCAAGATAAAAAACTTTCAACGCCCACCACCATAAAAAAAATATTTAAAAGACGTTTTTTATATATTAAGTTGGCGCAAACATCATAAGGAAAAAAAAAATTATGTAAACTACACCTGAAATATAAGAATTCAGGTGTTTTTTCAAATACGGTGGGCATCCTGTGGACACCATCAACATACTTAATTGCTTCCGAACCCCTACCCTAGAACAACCTAGCCCCTAGGATTCTTCATCGCCCAATGGGGTAAGGGCCGTGTTGCTCTTTGTAAATAAATATTTGTACTCATTTAGGCTGCTAGCAGATTGACTGCATGTTAGCAGTTAATGCGTGAAATCGTAATCAACTTCATGCATCCGAGACCACGACTGCATGAAGTTGATAACGAGTTCACACATTAACTGCATGCAGTCAATCTCGGCTGCATTAAGTCGGTTTCGACTGCATACAGTGAATGCGTAAAGTCGTTAATTTCATGCAGTCAACGTCTCGAAAACATAATTACAATTTCTTTTTGGAAACTTGGTGTTTGTTGGCGATGAATATGATGTATGTATATGAAGACCACAAATACATTGAGCCACAAAATGAGTGTTCAAAATTCCGTTGTAATAGAAAGAAATTTATTAAAATGTTTTAACACTACGAGTACTTGATGTGTTTGATGCTGACTGTACAATAGTTCAATTTACCTGTGGTAACTTGACCACGGGTTCTTCCAGCGGCGAAGGGGTGCGCTGCTTCTCCTGCGCCTGGTCAGACAGAGTCGAGTCGTTGCTGTCCTCGTCCTCCGACATAGGCTTGCGTGGCTTCCGGATCTTACGGCCACCCGCTGGCCCCGGTGCCGATCGCTTGCGGCCGTTGTTCGACATGTTTCACTGGCCCACCTGCCACACGGAAATGTATTATTTTGTAATAATACTCAATATTCAACCGAGTGTAATTAGTAGAGATGCGCCGAGTACAAGTTTTACCGAGTAACCGAGTACCGAATATTACCCGGTTTAACATTTGCCGAACCGAGTGCTCGGCCGAGTTACTCGGTTCATTACAAATGGGCGCGAAAACAAGTTGCAACGCGCGAGAGCAGAGTCCTTTCCAATGGTGGGCAGCGCATAAAACAAGATATCCAAAAGTGGCACAGTTACCACGAGTGTTTTTATATGCACCTGAAAGCACTGTGTATAACGAGCGGTTATTTTCCGAACCGAGTAATTACCACAACGCGCAGAAAGCTTTGTATTCGTACATCATAACTTGCCTTTGTTAAATTTTGGATATTAATAATATAAACTTTCTTTTTAAATATAATTGTCTAGAATTTGTAGTAATAAATCTCTTTTGATTATTTTAAATATATTGTTGGTTTTACTTTATTATGTCTATAGCTGTAATGCGTTATTTTAACCGAGTACTCTTCTCATGAACTGAGTTATTCGGTCGTGTACGAGAAGTAATAAAACGGCCGAGTACACCGAGTACCGAGTAGCAAACGAGTACTCGGCGCAACTAGTAATTGAGCAGAAACATGGAAGCCGTATTCATGAGATTATGTGACGTCACGATGATCGTTTTTTTTATGCGCGAAAGGTGTATCGCAGAAAAGGTGTCTCTACAGTGGGGTAATGACCCTAAAGGCCTGTTCAGACGTAAGCTTTATTCCCTACAGCTGTGGGTAGCGAAAAATACCGCGCAGCATCTCGCCGGGTATTTTTGTGAAGTTCCGAGGCTCGAGCGAAACCGGAATACCGTAGGTAGGAGGAATACAGAAACAATAGTAAATGACAATTATTATTTTTTTAAACATCAAGCGACAAAGCGAACAAGTCGTGCGCCAGTACGTTAGCTACACGCCTGTCCATAACAGTTGCAGTGCCACTCAGAGCTTTAAATCGCAAAGATCTGAGGGCACTGTCACTGCATCCATCACCTAATACATAAGCCGTGTGCCTGTAATTTTACCAGCACCCTTCAAAACCGGAACACAGTAATGCTAACATTATTACTTGGCGGCAGAAACAGGTAAGGTGGCAGTACTTCCCTGGATGAACTCTTTCACAAGGAGCTCTACTGCTTCTGAATAATGGATTTCGCCGTTTATTCCCACTACTTCTGTTGTACAGTTCTGTTGACAGAACTACTGATACTTTTTTCCCATTTGTTCTGTTAATAAGTAGACAGTTTTCTTTACAGAACTAGTGAGAATTTTCTCTTCTACAATGTATAGGGGTAGCGATATCCGTTTAGGTGTGAACAGTGGGAACACCGCGTACACATTCGGATTTCGCTAACCACATCGGCAGCGAATAACGCCTATATCTGAACAGGCCTTAAGTTAGGACATAATGATCAATGACAAGTATTATTTGTGGCTATCAGCAAGTGGTGAGCACCTGTCGGGGCGTTCAGCCCGGCGACGTAGGATATTCGCGTCGAGTGTGGGCTGTCACGTGCAGCAGGGCTAGCACGACCGGGCGTGAGATCTCGCGCAAGTTGCGCCCTGTCGTGCTAGCCCTACAGGGTGCAGTAGAGAGGGGCGGTTAGTGTATTGACCAATCAGAGTCGGTCGCCCAAGGACAAGCATCTTCGCAAAGACGATATACAAATTGTTTTATTTTGTTTGAAATAAAACCAAAGTTTAATAAGGCCCAACCCCGATTTTTCTAAAAAAATATAAATATGATATAAATAACTGTAGGTAGAACGAAACAAAATGAGAATGGCGAGGCAAAGGAATTAAAGAGCGATTCAAAATTTGAAAACAAGTTGCCAGAAACCAGAGAAAAGGTGATAAAAAGATGGGATGACGATGTAAGAAGGTCACATAGTCACACACTTTTTACGAAACTAGCGGTATGTCGGGCTTTATGTCGCGCCCTGTCGTGATACCCTACTGGTCTCTATTTAACTGGTCAGTAATATTATTCCTTTGTCCACACACAGCGATGGTGGACACACCATTTGGTCCTGATCTATGACAATCATGAATATATCCTCCTTCTTACGCAAAAACAAAGAAAACTCATGGAAATGTAAATAGTGTGATTGTGTAATATCAATGGGCAGAAATGATAAAGATTAGCCTAGCCTTAGAGTTAAAAGAAAAGTCTCGGTCCACATAAATTAATTACAGAAGTAAAAGAAAGGCTGTAACAAATAACATAGTGATATAAAATGGTACAAACATAAAACACTCCCCAATGGCACTAAACAGTCGAAAGTCCCAAGTACTTACCCCAAGAGGGCCTGTACGCGCATATATATATCTAATGCTTTAAAAACAGTTTAAGTGGAGTTGGAGTTTTACATGAAGATAAATAAGAACGTCCTCTCGCTTCGAGAATTTTGATGAGTGATCACGGAACGAACTAATGGCAACGTAAGAATAATGTAGGAAAAAAAATTCGAGAATGATTCAAAATTTGAAAAAAGGATTAAAAGCAAGTGGCCATGAACCAGAAGAGGATGATAAAAAGGTGGGATGACGATGAAGGAGGTCGCATCGTCACGAAATGGTTAACACACGTTAACCATTTGGTGACGACAAAAGCAATGTCATCGTAATATCAAAAAAACATCCATAACCAGAGCTTCACATTGGCAAAGTGTATTTACCTAAACTTTAAGTAATACGCATTTAGAGTGGAAAATACCTCCCTCTGATGTCTCTAATGAAAGGCTAAATAGTTGCATGTATACTAGCACTCATAAAACTTTTTTTTTATAAATACTCTACAGTAGTAGATTGCTAGTTACAGTTATAGAACAAAATACAATTAATGTTTCTGGAATTCCTGTGATGAGTATTATCCATATTTTATGAAGTCAACACACTTGTCAATGCCGCATTGGTTCGAATTGGCGGAACGAAACGGCAAACATTGTTTTATCTTTTAGAGCGGTTACACACGGTGATTTTAGCAGCGATGCAAACTCGCGTTACACTTGCGATTTATAGACGATTGCATCGTTGCAAACGCGCAACTGCATCGATTCAAAAGCGAGATTGCGTCGATGCAAACGCGCGCTGCATCGATGCAATCGCTTATGTTAAATCATTATGCACGAAAAATCTGTACAGGTTTATGCACACTGTTTTCTTTTGTGAATTGAAAAATTTAAAATAAATAAATAAATTTGTTAATCAATTAAAAATGTGCATCGCGTTAGGATCGCGTTTGCATCGCTGCGTAATGTAGACGACTAGTGACTGCATCGCAGTTGCGACTCCCTTAGCCACTAAAAGCTAGCAATAATCAACACAAGCAAAATGTTTCGCGGTCATAGTTAATAAATGCAAGTATAATTATTTTGGGTCCTCTAAATTATGAACAGCTTTTCAGGGCACCATTCTCAGTTTCGAACCTAACGTCCAGAGCTGTGACTCGTCTCAAATGTGTCTATTACAGAGTTGTACTTCATTTTTAAAAACAGTACAAATATACCGATTAGCAGAGAATGTTCCATTTTGCTGAGCAACAACATCTGAAATGACAGTTAGTGAAGAGAACAGTTCCATACCTCTTTAAGTGTATAAGTAACAGCTGTTGACAATGTGACAAATATGATGCTACTAAAAGTTTACAGTTATATACCTGAAGACATTAAAAAAGAAAACTCCTTTTTTTTAAAAGCTGGATGGAGCAGATTTCAAGCAAAACTGAACATATCTCACTGCAATTACAATAGTGTTGTAACTCAAAATATGTAAATTTCAAAATTATACAATTGCTGAATGTAAAATATGATTCTCTACATGTCAATAAAAAAAGTCATTAAAATATTGTAAGAAACAATTAAAAGGTATCCACTTAACTCAAGTACAGACAAACTTTATGTGAGTTCTGATTAAAACAGTTCTTATAAAAAAATATCAAATTATTTTTTCCTTTTTATTTTTAAATATATTAGGCAAGTAGGAAAATGTGTAGATGTCTGTACACATCGAGTATATAACCAGAAATAGAGACAAAGTATCATTTAATTTGTTTGAAAACTATTCTGCCATATCATTACTGTGACAACTGCGCTCCAATTGGCTTGGCCGAATTCGAAGCAATTGATGGGTGTCATCAATTGTTTCACTTCAAATCGACCAGTTAACACGAGTTTTACTTTAATGGACGAAAATTGCATAATTACATATTTAATTACTGAAGAAATTTGAGTCTGTTTGTTTTGTAATTAGATGTTTTGCTGTTTTTCCTCACACCACTGAATGGAACAGCACACCATTGTTAGAATGATTATCTTTAATACAATAAATACAGAATATTTTTGGAATACACAGACGGTCAGTTATTGTCGCTGTCTGTATTTCAGTACAAAGGAGAGTTGATATTTATAAGTGATGTATCACTGATGAGTTACCAGGAATTTCTGGTTATATACTTGATGAAAATACACTTTTTGAGTCAATACACTGTGCAATATGGGTGCAGTTAGATAGATTTTGACTCGGTGAAATGTCAACCTAGTTTTCTCTACAACATAATAAATGTTTTATGAATATTTATGTCCGTATGTAACCGCAGTCGGAAGGAACATGCGACACACTTCTTCAAAACCCAGACAGCGGTAGTTGTGCATTGTAAGCATAATATTATATTGTACTTATCTGATGTAAGAAATAACACGGTATACTGTTGCAAAGTATTAAACAACGTTATAACTCGCCTAAAAAGTGCATCGAAGACAGCACAGCATGGGAATACACAATGCTCTCAAACAATGAAATATACCGTTATTTTAACACCGCATTATGATCCAAACTACATTATGTCCAGGTTACCGGCCCACAAAACCGATCAAAAGACTATACAATAGCTAAAAGAATATGTAGCACTCACGATACAAAATGAATTACGTGAAAATCGACTAAAGCCAGGAGTACAGGTACCGACACGTGTTAAATATGAATTGATTGCAATTATTGAGATATAAACCACTTAAAATTTCAGAATAATGCATAATATCACAACAATGCATACAATATTCAACTCACCGGTGAAAAACAAGTAATAAATGTTAAAAAATAAGTAATAATGGAAAATGTCTATCAAGCTCGCGTTATTTGATAATGGGGATGCCGCGAAAAAATTATTATTAACCGTTTGTTTTCTTCCATCATTGAAAAAATGACACTATTTCAAAATATTGCCAGCGAAAGTTACAAAAGCTATACGTTGATCTCTTTCTAACTCAGGCGACACACCGTTTTGATAGAGTGAGATGAGTACCTGTAAAAAAAGTCGATGGTCTTTAAATTTATACATGGCAACTTCATAAGTGTCATTTGGTTACTTTAAACAAAATATTTCAATTTAGTATGTAAAATTATTGCAAGTTTAAAGAAACCCCTTTTGATTGGGTAAGTTCATTTTTTTATTAAATGAGTGGGTGACGCCGCGCCGTAGTGTAATTTACTGAGAAATTTCAAAAAGTAGAAATTTTTCGAGAAATTTTTTGAAATTTTAGAAAAAATTAAAAAAGTGGAAACATTTGAAGGTTCATATTATGTTCTTAGGTTACAAATATCTTTTGAAGTTTTATTTAGGTCAATGTTTAGCGTGAATTAAATAAAATTATATATGTAGTTGAACTTATGCTCATGGCATATTTTATACGCGCCGATATGACGCGCGTTTAAACGCGCTGTTGACGTGCGTATGTGTTTACTAAAATGCGCATTTAATAAAAGACAGTTTTAAATTTTAATGTTGTTTGTTAATTTCAGTTTTTGTTAAATGAAGCAACTACATGAAATGCTTCTCTTTTACTTTTGTTTCACTACAGCGCCTCTGCGGCGTTCATAAGCGCAAATGACACGCGCTTACGGGTTTTTCCATGACTAGAGGTGGGCATTTAAACGAAAAGCATTTAAAAATGTCTGCTTTTTAAAATAAGCGCATAAGCACGCTTTTCACTTTAAGCGTAAGCATTGGTCACTGGTCAGTTCTATACATACTCAACAATTTCATTTATTATAACGTGCCTAAGTTTCAAGTAGCGCCATCTATGTTTCCTAAACGAACGACGTTTTTCTAAACGACTTCTTAAGCGTGGTCGACCCTTAAGAGTCGTATTCTAAAACTCTACTCAATACTGAAGTCAGGACTTGAGTATTGCAGTGAGCGCTGAAAATCATACTCAAGTCCTTGCCATTAGGGTCGTATTTCCATTGCTTGAAATCATACTCAAGTCTGCTCAAATCCTGACTTGAGCATTGAGTAGAGTCTTGGAATACGACCCTAAAAAGTTTAAACGTATAGAAAAATAAGCAGTTTTTCCATCTCTATCCATGACCCAACACTACTCTCTCTTGCTTATGCCACACTTGTTGCCGTGCTGCGCGTAAATAAAATAAAAGAGGATGGTGTTGGTGTAATGATTTGGAATGCCTAAACTCTGACTTTGACTTTCTTCTGGCTCTTCGTGGTTTGCTTTTAAGCGACTTGCAGTGTATTGAGTAACTTGATTTTAACACGGGGAATATCATACTCTAAGCAAGCTCTATTAACACTCTCAAACAGCAGGCCATGCGGCCTACCGGCGGGACACGCGTTTTTTTCACAGCAACGGCGGGACGCGGGACACCTTCAAGCATTTAAAGCTTTACCAGCAGGCCGCGCGATTCACGCGATGTCACCACTAGGGACGAGATCGTTACTTGATTACGATCTGGATCGGTTGTTAGCAGAAGAGCCACGCAATTGGCTATGTTCGCCGAACGCACAACTTATATTATCGGCCTGCTGATACAACCTTTGACTGGTCAGGACTAGAAAAAACGAAAATAAATTTGATTCTTAATTTGTGGTACGCCGTGGACCCCATGGCCTGCTAAGTAAAATTCGAAAATACATGGCGGCCTGCTGCACACGGCGCTGAGAGAGTAAAACATTGTTCTGTTCCACTTTGTTTTTTTTCTAACATCACTTAGTTATCGAAGCCCACAAATACGACATACTTCTGACAGTAAATTGACACTCACAATTTTTTTAATCTATGAAATTCTTGGTCATTTGTGAGTTTCATTTTATTGATTTTGAACATTTGTGGAAATGAAAAGCTGAGTAAAAGTGTACTAAAAATCTTTGCTTTTGTTTACGATATATCTATTCGATACCAAAAACTAAATCAAACTATGATTTTATATGCAAACCTTGGTTTGCTGAAGCCTTGACTCTCTAATTGGGTTGATGGCGTTTTTGAGAACATCGGCGGCGGCGACAGAGGAATTAATTCGTAAAATTTAGTTTACATTACACCTTGAATTAATCTTTGGTTGATACGGTAAGCTTAGCATTAATTTTTATGTCGTATTTATACGTAGCTATCGTGATTTTCGACGTAACTTGTATTTGTTAACCTTGTTTATTTTTGATTACCTACTTGTGAAATGAGCGCTGCGATTGTCGATTCGGCACTCGACGACGTGGGTTTCACATTCACCCTGATTGCCGAGTTTCAAATCTTTGTATATTCCTCTTAAGCCAGAAAATATTTTTTTAAGTTACACCATATTTTACCTTCAAAAGGATTCTGAAGGATGCCGATAAATAGCATTACTTTCCAAACAATGGATACTTTCCAAACATAATGGAAAGTAATGCAATTTATCCAGATGTTAATATGAAAATTATAAAGTATAAGTACAGTATCCCAGTGTTGAGCATAATGTTGTTAAGTGTATAATAGATCATCATACAAAAATTGATGGAATAAATGTTTGATGGGCCCTTTGCAGCCATTTTTAGAAACTGATGGTATATCCTACTCTGTGCAATGTTCAGTGGAATCCTGACAATCCAAAATGATTGTGATCAACAACCAAAAATTTAGATTTTTTTTCACTCAGTATCAGAGCGGATTTTTGGTTTATTAAAGTTTGGATTATGCTGATTCCAATTTATAAAGTTAACACTTGATATGTGATATAGATATCTTATAAAAATGCCTTCGCGACTGTTTTTATATATGAAATTATGTAACTGCTGTGGTTTATTTTAAAATATGAATTATGTTGTGAATAGATTGTTTTTCATGCTCTGCAAGTCACTTTCCTTGTAAACGCTCTGTTCTAGGAATGCTTTAGTCTATCTCTTTTTGCAGATGGAGCAATATGACAGTTTATTGCGCAAAAGTGTTGCCCGGCTTGCAAGCATCTAGTGATTGCAGTAGATAAATATTCTTTCGACTATTGACTGAATGTTGGTCACACTTATGCAATAAATTGCTGAGCTTATTGAATTTCTATTAAACATAGAAACAAGAGGCATATTTTAAACTTTTTCATTTTACAATACAATACAAATATTGTTTGTTTCACATGGACAAATACATGATAACAATACAAAAAAAGTAAAAATTACAGGTACAACAGGCGGCCTTATTGCTAGATAGCATTCTCTTCCAGGCGTCCTTCAGATTACAGGAAAAACTCTAAGATAAAATTATTCGAGGGCGCAGCAGAATACACATATTGCACATATACAAATGAAGAAGAAAGTGATAACAATAAAATACTAAATAAATAACATAATAATAATAGTAATCATTAAAGTAATAATAATAAAAAATAAATAATATATATATACCTACATATGTAAATTGGTGATTGTATAAAACACAAATAATATCAATTTACACAAAATTTTAAACGGGTAAGAATAGAAGAAAATAATGCTTGGAGTTTATGATAATGAGCTCGTAAGAATGTTGTAACACTCACAATTCAGATATTTTTGGCAAAATTTTAGTTTCTCTCACAATTATAAAATTTTATGAAAACCGTCAACTCTGCAAGTGTCATTTTACTCCATCTTCAAAAAAACAGATTATAGGTTTTTTTAAAGTTATGGTAGCCTAATGGTTTGAGCTTCAGCCTTTCAAGCCAAGTGTCGTGAGTTGGAATCTGGGCTTGCACCTTTAAGTTTTTTAGAATTTATGTGAGGATCTGAAATTTATCATGAACTTTTCAGTGAAGGAAAACATCTTGAGGAAACCTGCACACATTTGCCATACAGTTTAAGATGTGTGTGAATTTCCCAATCTGTGTTCGGCCCATGTGGGAATTAGAGCCCAAGTCCTTCCTTTGTTACACTTACTATTGGGTTCGGGTCTCTGAACACTGAGAACCCTGAGAATTATACGGTTCAGTTCTCTGAACCCTGGGAATTACTGGGTTCAGGTTGCTGAACCCCATAGTTCCAACTATATGTTCCCACGGTTTATAGGCTAATTATTTATCCACTGTGTCTTACTTCCTTGAAGTTCAGGTAAATGTACTTTGCCTCTCCTGATCTTTGTTAATAACTGTTCCACTGCCTGAGCTAAGGATGTGTTTGAACATACTTGAGAAAATATTCTATGTTTCTCTTATACATATAATACACTTCCTTGAATGTTGACTAATATACACTTTTCCTGGTAATGTGAGGAACTGAAGTTATTTATAGACCTTGTTATTTGCCTTTACAAACATGCGTGTAGTGTTATGTTTACTTAGAACTTTACTGTCCATAAAATAAAAAGATGTGGGATCTAGATATAGTGGGAGCACATTTGCTCTGCGGTTGATAGGTCAACGAAATTCGAATGTGTTTAATTTCTGAGTTCCGTAGGTTGTTAATGTTTAGTATCATTATTTCTCACTAAAGGTAAAAGGAAACTCCACATCAAAGAAAATTCGCAACCCTCGGAAAATGTATAAAGTCTCCAACCCACACTGTGGTGAAAGGTCTTTATTAATGTAAAGTTTACGACAGTAATTGAACTATGTAAGGCTGTAATGCCCATATTTCTCGAAATACTTCTAAGTTAACAGTTAAGCTATGTTAAATATTCGTTATATCCACCGAAATGGTAAATATTATTTGTCCCCGATATCTCTAGAACTGCTTAAGGCGCGGCGACGGCGATGGCGAATTTTTGGCGATGATTGTGGCGCGTACCGTGTCGCACTCATTGCTACCCGTGCCCTCATAATGCTCAATGAACTATCGGAATCAGCTCCGGAGTGCGATTTGCTAGCGTGGCGAGGCTGTGTGCTGTGCTGTGAATGATTGATAAATCAAATTTAATGTTTTCGTTTAATAGCGGCCAGGGGTCTTAGTGTTTTTTAATTTAGACTTTATGAACATATGATTAAGATCGCAATAAAAATCTTAACGCAAACGCGGCAGTTAAGTTTGCATATATTACAAATTTACACCCAGGCCTCTGTTCTGCATGTTACATTAGGTTTCACTATGCATTAGTTTACCAACTGTGGTAGTTACAATAAACAAAATAAATTATTCTCACCTCAGTGTTACCTATATTCTTCACCGGTTGATTTAAAAAGAAACTGTGGCATTGTAGATTGGGAAGGGGCTCAATGATACGTGAATTTTATGACAGTTCTGAGGATGACGACATGGATAACCAATATCAGATAGATCCTGAGTGTGCGGTGCTCACACGGCCTGACCGCGATATGCATAATAGATGCTGCGGTGGCAAAGCTTGGTGCATTAAGGTAAGTTGCATAACGTTACGTATATTGCACTTTCTCTGCTACTTAACCTTTCGTAGAAAAAGCGGAAACGCGACTTTACAAACATGTTCAAGTTTGACCTCGATTAGGCGCCAAACGGCATAATAGAGCAGCTCTAGCAGATCGATGCAAAGCTCTGAGGTCGCCCCCTATTATGTATAAGCGTACAAATTCTGTACGAAAAAAAATTTGAATTCTCGAACCACTTGTCGTCGTTACCAGCTACACTAGTGATATCTATGCAGTAGAAGTGTGCTGACTGAGTTTATTTTGGTTAAAACAAAATCTCGATATCTGTGTGGAGACAGTTGTACTTCATGCTAATTTTATATGCATATCATTGAGCAATGACTCAAGAGGACTATGGGTGAGGCCAGATAAGCCAGTAATTTTGTGAGTTGCGTTTTTTGAGTTGCGCAGTTTACGCTCGACCGGAATTCGGTTGGAGCGCAGTTCAGTTGCTTTTTAAGCGTTTATACCAAAGTGACCCCTTCCCTCACCCCCTACCTCCACCCGCGAAGGTCGGTCGTCATTACTCCCGTGAGTCGGGAGATAATTCATTTTGCGTCGTCGTGTAAAACAAACCGAGTCACAGCTCACAATATTACACTCGTCTGGCCTCACACTAATCGCGATATAAGACAGCGTAGTCGGGTACCAAATAGCTATTGAGTTGTAATTTATTAAAGCTACTAGGCGCTTATTTCACAGATTTTTATGGGTAGTGCTAGCCTTCTTTTATTTTGTTTAGAGTTAGCGCCTTCTACCCATATTAGCAAGCGGTAATTTATAAATTAGTTCGTAACACATTGCCATCTATTGATGCCACGTGGAGACCACGGCTTGGCAGACGTAGTGTAGTATGCCCTCTAGCCTGATGGAGTGTCGATTTGCGAAAGGCTGCTGGCAGCAGATAGTAGCGACGAGCTGAGGACTGGGCGAAATGGCGCACATTGGAAGAGGCCTATGTCCAGCAGTGTACTACAATAGGCTGTTGATGATAATGATGATCTGTTGATACGCATCGCACTGCTACTACAAAAGTGTTGTAACTCAAAATATGTGAATTTCAAGATTATGCAATTGCTCAACGTAAAATTTGATTCTCTACACGTCAATAAAAAATATCATTAAAATATTGTAAGAAACAATTAAAAGGTATCTACTTAACTCAAGAAGAGTCAAATTTTATGTGAGCTAGCTCTGGTTAAAACAGTGCTTATAAAAAATATCAAATTATTTTTTCCCATTTATTTTAAATGTGTTAGGTAAGTAGGAAATTGTGTATACGTCTGTATAAACTAACCTGTACATAAATTTTAATGTTCTTTCGTAGTGATCCGTTTTTCATCGATTCTGAAAAAATACACTTTTTTAGTTAATACACTATTGCATTAACAGTGCGACATATTTGTCATAGTTAAGAAAATAATTTTACCTATGATCCGCAATCTTGTAGAAGCATAATATCACACTACCCCTCAAATGAATTTCTGCCCTTGTGACTTTCAGGATATATGCGGCATAATATGCGCAGCGCTGACATGGCTGCTGATCTTGTATGCGGAGTTTGTGGTGATGATGGTCATGCTTCTTCCAAGCCTCAATACTTACCCCGTGTACAGCTACATCAATATTTTCTTCTATCAGACTCTTGCTTTACTCGCCTTCGCCTCGCACCTTAGAACTATGTTCACAGATCCAGTAAGTATACGATGTTTTAACATGAAAAATGTGCCAGGTAATCGCACTAGGTGCAGGAGTAAATAAACGAACCTATTTGTAGCAGTTCAAACAATTCAACCTGTGAACAACAAGCATTTTGCAGTCAAACGTGTATCCATCTCGTATACATTTTCTCTTTCAAGCAAGTAACATTGTGGATAAACATTGGATTTTGCCTTTGACATTTGCCAATAAGTTGTAAGAGTGCTGATGAAATTAACAGGCACGTGGAACTTGTCAACTTATGTCTCAAGGTGATGAGTGCAGTTACTCCTCAGACCTTTGCGATTTAAAGCCCAGAGCGACGCTGCAACTATTACGGACAGGCGTGTCGCTTACGCTCACTTCTTGTTCGTCCAGTGACTAGGTGTTATAAAAAAAAGTATACTGTAGATTGTGACATTTGCAAGAACTTCTTTCGTTTTGTGTCCTCCATCCTCCTCAAACATTGAAACAAACAACGAAACAAAAACTTTATACTAAAGGTTATTATACAACTTCTACGTACTTGGACGACAAAAATCCGTGGTAGTAATCCGTTTAGCTCATGGAGGTAGTCTCGATCTCTGATGTTTTAAAAAAAAAAAATATTGTAAATATTGAATGTGTACAAATATTATTTACAAACAGCAACCCCTAGAGTTTCGTGCTCATTCTTCTCAGGGGAATCTGCCTTACGAATGAGCGGCAGAGTTTAACCATTGTGACGATTTCAAGTCTAATTACGCTTACCTATGGAATAAAGATTATTTAGAATTTTAATTTGAACATACATTTTGCTGCTGCTGTCTTTTTCGCCGGCCGATAGGTAGCCTATATTTTGGCAACAAAAAAATAAGATGATAGTCTAACCTATGACTGTGTATAACTGTGGGCAAAACTAAAAATGACTAATTCTTTTTTCGCGATAAGATGTGCTCAAAATTGAACCTGTTAAGTTTCCCCCTGTTGCGGCCGTATCCAGGAGGAATTCCTGTCAGGTGTCCAAAGAAACAACATGGTGCCTGTGCATGTTCCCGTCATTTCGCCCTGTTCTTCTATCTACATAACACTGTTCCAGTCCTTATCTAATCTCCTTGCAAGTGCAAGTAATTTCCATCTAAATTAAACCGCTAAAATACGTCCACTTATCGGCACTTTACTTATCGGTAAGGCTTGGTTTGCCCTACCCTGATTTGTCTAGAAAATACCGCTGAATAAAAACTAAAAAGTAAGTTATTTAAGGCAAACCTTGTGCCTTTTTTCACCATGGCTGTAATGAAAAGACAAAAGGCTTGAGTGTTTTATGTGGGGCATCATAGTCAAGTTAGCCTGCATGCACGTGCAAGTGTGACGTAAAACATTGCGTGTTTCACCTCGACTCGTCTCGTTCGTAATTCCTTATTTACCGCCCTTAATGCACAATGTACCATTGAGCCACCGGTTTTGGAAACGATCCGACCTAATCTGTTGTTACATGCCAAAAGCCACGCCTCTGCTATCGTAACGAGCTGTATAAATTCCACAGGGCGCAGTTCCAAAAGGCAATGCGACTAAAGAGATGATAAAGCAAATGAGCTTTCGCGAGGGTCAAGTGATTTTCAAATGCACCAAGTGCTGCAGCATCAAGCCGGAGCGGGCGCACCACTGCTCCGTCTGCCAGCGCTGTATACGCAAAATGGACCACCATTGCCCATGGGTCAACAACTGTGTCGGAGAGAACAATCAGAAGTACTTTGTCTTGTTTACCGTAAGTGTATGACAACATTTTTATAAACATTTTTGCAAACATGTCAACACGGTATTATCATAGTAAAATAAGAGAAGTATGGCGGAGTGAAAAGAAAGGCGGAAATTCGAAGAGAAAGGACCTAAAGGATATAAAATTTTCAATTAAGAGGGAGCAGAGGAAAAATTCCTAATCTTCGATTTGATTTTAGAGGGGTATATCCACTTTAAGGTTAAAAATAAAATATTGTATGAGTAACTACACGATATATTCAAGCATAGACATTAATCAGAAACATAAAACAATAAAGTTTCCTCGATAGATAAAAATCACGAAACGACCTCTAATTTTCACATTTTTTCGATTCATCCTCGAAATGCTACAGGTTATTAGGAGAAAAATTAGATAATTAATTATATTTATGCATGATCGACAACTGTCACTACGGATTTTTTTTTAATCCTTTTAGTTTTAGAGTTATTCCGCTAAAACTAATTTGGTGTTTTTAATGCGCAAAATTCAACATCTCCTGTCGCATGTCACGCGAACTTCAGGCGTATATTTGTTTCACAAATTTGGGCGGAGCCAACGTCAAAACTTTTTTGGCATGAGAGCTCTTAAGATTATGACAGTATTATTGACAAGTTTCTGGAAGAAGCATCAAGATATAAAAGACCAATGGTATGGAAGCATTCCAAAAGATATAGGTATCTGCTAAGCTGTGTTCAAAATTCAAAGTCTTTTGTTAACAACTGTACTACTACTTTTGTTAACAAATATTGGTAGATAATAAAATTTTTACTCTTTTTTTATTTTTGGACATTTTAATTTTGGTTTTTTTAAGTATATTTAAAATTCATTTAAAATTAATCTGATGTAAACAATACGAATTAAATGTTACTTATAGAATAATGTATAAATAGTTTATTCTTTTAATTATGTTATTTTTAAGTGATTATGACAATGATGTGTTCAGCTGTAATTGGCTCACATACTAGTTTTGTATTATTTTAATAATGTATGTATGTCAAGCTGTTGCTGATCCAATAAATAAATAAACAAGTGAACGAAGTGATTTAAGTGACAGTGAAAACATAAATAATGATTCCCGCCGCTTAAAATACTATTTAAAAAACCCAAAGTTCTTTTTAGTCGTTGTACAAGTACATTAAACACCCGGGTTCCGATCCCCGAGTCGGGAGAAATATTTGTAAGAGACACGCTGAGCTAAGAGATACAATGTAAATATTTAAAATGTAACGTAAAATTGTAATGTAAAAAGTATTTTCATCGCACTTGCACGTGAATAGGATGATTGCATGCAGGTTAATTTGACTACAATGCCCCAAATAAAACCCTCGGACCTTTATTTTTCTCTTTACCCACCATGGCTGTAATGAGAAAAACAGACCCGAGGGTTTTATTTGTGGCATTATAGTCGAATTACCCTGCATGCAATCATACTATTTACGTGCAAGTGTGATGAAAACTATTCAATGTTTCACGGGCTGTACGAGAATTACGAACCTCGGCGTCGAAATAATTTCTTATTTGTCGCCCTTATTACACAATATACTATTGTAAAGCAGCTTAAAAGGCTTAATAAATAAATAATAAAAGTGTGTGTCCATTGCACCGACGACACAGGGTTTCCTAGTGCGAGGTTATGAGAAAAAGTGAAAGAAATTTAAAGTACACAGCGTTATATTTCTTTCATTTTTTCTAACTTGGGGTGAAGGTCCAGCGTAAGGGATTTTTTGTCTGTTCGTTAGTTCTACATCGCGGCTCTGTCGACGCACTCGCTTACGCTGGCGGTGTACCAGTTCGTGACCTGCATCCGGCACGAGTGGCGCGACTGCAGTGCTTACTCGCCGCCGGCGACTGTCGTGCTGCTGCTGTTTCTCATCGCCGAAGCGCTGCTCTTTGCTATCTTCACCGCGGTCATGCTCGGCACGCAGCTGCACGCCATATGGAACGACGAAACTGTTAGTAAACATTATCTTGTTTATTTACTTTGCCACCGAAACTAAAGAACTGACGGTTTAGTGTAGCGATGTGCGACCTTGAATGTTACTAATCATTCGAATGTACAAATCATTCGCTTAACTCGAATACAAGCACAATCATTCGACTAGAGTTGAATGATTAACAATACCGAATGCCCTTGCTAGTCGGTTGGGTGCACGTGTTGAATGATTATTATATCGAAACACCAAAACAAAATATCACGAACAGAAATGCTCTATGGAATCTATGAATTAGTACTACTAATTAGTAACGAATGATTATTCAAATCATTCGAATGCGAAAATTGGTAGGTACTAATTTGACATTCGAATGACAGAATTAGCGATTACTAACGAGTCTAATATCGAAATCATTCACAGTCGCGCATTGCTAGTTTAGTGCATTCCGAGTCAAATAAAAGATGATTATAAAGGTCCATTTAGATGGAGAGAGTCTATCGCACGCTTTGTGGCGAAAAACGTACGCGACTATCGCAAGCCATAATCGCCATAACATTATCGTATTATAATGTTTTTTTATTTTTTTTATAACGTGTTTGTGAAGGAGGAGTTAGGGAAGTACTGCTACCTTGCCTATTTCTGCCGCCAAGCAGTACGAAGAAATTACAGGCACATGGGACTTGTCAACTTATGTCACCGGGTGACTGGCACAGTAGCAGGGTCCCAAAGATCTTTGCAATTTAAAGCTCTGAGTGGCACTGCAACTGTTATGGATAGGTATGCCGCTTACCACTCGGTATTATACTTGATAAAAAAAACAGTTTTTGTTTTCAAGTTCTGTTTACACGGTGACGTTGAATATTCGAAGGCGAGACAGTTGTCGAATGTTTAGACGAGGAAAGTATTTACTTTCTTTGGATAATCGTATCTTCGAGACGATAAACTCTCCATCTAAATGGGCCTAAAATAATGATGGAAAAGTTGGTACACTTTAAGTAATACCATAGAAGTTTTTTTAATACTCGCAGATATGCACACCAGCGGGTGCTGATTTTATGACAGTTTTAGTCTATTGACATAGTGCATTGTTAGTAGATGGAGTTAAAAGTTTAGAGCACAGGATTTTCTTACTTTCTTTTCTGGCCTATACCAGAGTTAGATGGTCCATAAACGACAAACTTTGTATGTTTTTTTAAATGTATTTTTTCCTAATTTTTCATGTAACCTCAAACGTTTCGCTTTGACAGGAGCCGTCTGATATCAAAATAATGTGTATGGTAGATGGCGCTGACGTTGTGCCCTCGGAGAATGTTAGTATTGGCATCAGGGTGTATTAATAGTTGATCACCGATAATGGAGAAACACGGTGTTCAGTAGTAAGCCCGTGTTAAGTAATCAAAACATTTGCCACGACTCTCGTAGCCGTTTGTACTGTTACTAGTAATCCACATTATACAGGGTTATTTTTAAAATACTAACAACTTCGAAGGACTATATTATTTATAATAACTTTTGTTCCACGACTTTAACAATTCGTCATATTTTACTTACTTACAAAAATAAAAATATTATTATATTGTTGAAAAACCAAATACAAAGATACGACGCAAGGACGTAGAAAAATTCGTGAGGTCCGCTGGTTCGTTCCGTGGCTTAGTTGGTATAGCGTCTGCCACGGTATGCTAGAAGATGTCGGTTCGAATCCGGCCGGATCGAAGGAATTTTTTCTGAGTGTTCGATCTTTTTGTTAATAATTATAACAAACTAGTGGAGTAATTTCACATAAAAATAATTGAATATCTTTTCCATAAAAAATTTAAAAATAAATATATTTAAATATAACACTCGTAAACAGAGTTATCACACTCTAAAGTAGTAATGTGAGAATTACTGCGTTCCGGTTTTGAAGGGTGAGGGTGCTGGCGATGTTACCACCAAATATAAGATGTAAAAAGTGTCTGAACGTACAACAAAAAGTTAAAAGTTTCCTTTTGGTAAATTTATAACGTTTTGTAAAAAATCATGGAACATAAGTTGTTGTTTATGGCGTTAATAATATAGTCCTACGAGGTTGTTCGTATTTTACAAATCACCCTGTATATACGTAGTTGAGTACGATGGTGGAAAGAAACCTTTCGTAACTATTACACACGTATATAGTGTCCTGGATAGACATGGAAAAACTGCTTATACATTTTAAACGTTAAAACGTTGTGCGTAAAAAAGCATGCTTATCAAAGAACTTTTCACTAAAACGCTTTAGTTACGTTTTTGTTAAAACAGCAACGTTTTAGTTAGAGAAAAACGTTTTAGTTAGACACAAAGAAGACAAAAAAACGTTTTACTCGGAGGGTTACAAAATTGTTTAGAAAAAAAAACCGTTTAAGTTCATGGACTTCATGTTAAAAAAGCTTGCAACATTGTGTTGACAGCGAAAAGCGAAAGCAGGCCATTAAAGGTTTTCAGATATGTAAGTTTATTTGTAAGACACGCGTTGTATTTATTAACCGAAAAAAGGAGGAGTTTCTCAATTCGATTTTTTTGTGTGTGTATATTACGCTTTACTCAGCATTTATGAACCGATTTTGATGTTTCTTTTTTGTTGGAAAGAGGCCACGTCATTATTAGTCCCATTTAAATCTGAAGAAAATATTTGACTTCCAAAGGTAGCAAATTAGGGGTTAAATTAGGTTTATTCGATTTCAACCACTTTCCGTTAACCGTTTTCAACAAAACTTGGCAAATAGATTTAATTCCGTTAACTTTTGAAACCTTTTTTATAAAAAAAACTAAACCATAGTTTTTTTTATAAAAAAGGTTTAGGAAACGAAATTAATTTGTTTAGGAAACCTAGGTGGCGGGACTTGATATGGGCACGTTGTAATAAATGAAAATGTTGAGTGTTGAACTGAGCTATCGAACGCTTGTAACTTAAAATTATGAGCGTACTTAAGTTAAAAAGCAAACTTTTTAAGTACTTTTGCTTTAAACGCCCGCCTCTAGTCGTGGAAGCAGTCGGCCTAATTAAATACAGCCAAGAGATACAGAATTTCCCTTATAATCGTTTTTGGTAAACACAAAATTTCAACACACGTTAAGAACTATTAATCTTCACGTGTACGGGATATCGGCATTTGGCATACTTATTATTGAGCGTGCCAAATGCTGTGGTATGGTACGGAATGTAAAAAAAATGTTTAATTGAGTTATTCTCGCGGATTTCCTTACGTAATCTATAAAAGCTCTTAAAATTTTAATTTTAAATCCACATTTAAATACTCATTGATTGAAACTCGTTGCCATTGAAAATTTCGATTCGAAAACTTTAATTGAATGAAGCGAATGTTTTTTTCGTACAGCACAATGCAACCATAGACAAGTAAGTCATAGTTGTATAGTTGAAAAATAGCCTCACTTTTGGACTATCATTTTTCAAATACTATTTTACGATGCTATTCAAATGAATATTGTTGGATAAAGCGATGAGATAACAAGTCGAAATCTTCGAAATATACGTGAAAGTGTTACTTATTCCATTTATTGAGTGATTGCTTTAGAATTTTAACCAAACAGTTTTGTTTACGTTTTGTTCCAAATTGATTGTAACGGACTATATTATACTCAAAAATTAGTAACTAATAGATTAGTAACTATTTCGATTCACAATCGTTATTTGATCAACAATCAAAAAGTGAAGTGTAGTAACTAATTAGTAACTAATTCATATCAATAATAGAATTATTTCGAATATGTTTATAATCGAATAATTTGATTATTTTTAGTAACTATTGCGCATCTAAATTGTATACATCATCGTAACAAATTTAATATCACCTATGTGTTAAAAGTAACGATCATAGAAAAATAAGCTTTCTCCCATTGACTTACAATTATATGGACGTCGGGTCCGCGCTAAAAAGTGTCCGCACTTGTAAGGCGCTAAAATCGTATACAGAGCGCCAAACTCCGCTTTAGTCTTCATTTGTTCGACTGACAGCGCGATACTGCGATGACATTACAATTTAAATGTCGAAAAGGTTGACTTGGGACATTTTTTTCGTGGTTTTTGTATTAGACCCGTCGTCCATTTATTTGTAAGTCAATGCTTTCTCCTGTAAAATTTTCGTAGAGTGTTTTTGTTGATTGTCATTGAATTATGAAAATATTCACATGAGAGTTTTTTTCAGTCAGTTACTCTTTGAATATGCTCTTCAAATATTTAGAAAACTTCTTGTCGACCAAATGACACGTAAGAGGTTTTAAATTTGCAACGACGACATGGGGCTCGAGTTACTGGGCCTAACTATTTTTTTGTTTTTATTATCTCAGGGTATTGAACAACTGAAGAAGGAGCAGGCGCGATGGGTGCGGAAGTCTCGATGGAAGAGCATACAGTCAGTGTTCGGACGATTCTCCATTTTCTGGTTCTCGCCGTTCACCCAGCCGTCACCCAAGACCAAGCTGGAGAGTTATCTGTACAGTGTGTAAATAACTAGACATGTGATGAGGCAGACTGGTACACCAACAGGTAGACACAGGTTTCGCTTAAACACCATTAACAAAGTTATAATCTGAAGCTACAACTTGCTAATCGTCTCTCTCTTGACTAGGGGTCGTATTTTAGAACTCTACTCAATGCTCAAGTCAGGACTTGAGCAGACTTGAGTATGATTTCAAGCACTGGAAATACGACCCTAATGGCAAGGACTTGAGTATGATTTTCAGTGCTCACTGCAATACTCAAGTCCTGACTTGAGTATTGAGTAGAGTTCTGGAATACGACTCTCAATGTCGTAACTCAATATTGGGATTTTTTTTCACGGCAACGTTATTTCCGGTACTGCACGTCTTATACTGTTGCTCGTTCCAAATTCGTTCTATGGTTGAGTTATATTCATATGTGAGAGGTAAAGGACCTTTGGTTTAGAATGTTAAAATCACGCTATACAATGAGAATAATTTATTACGTAATCGCCGAGACACAAACCATCTTAAAAATTAGAAAATTGAAAAGCATAGAAATGCGCGAGCTAAATACATAATTATAATGATAAAATAATAACCGTAATTGGAAGAGGCGAGAGACAAATAGAAATAACAGTGATTATAAATGCGTGACACGCAAACGGGTCTTGCTTAAATAATGAAAAAAAAAGCAATAGTAAAAGACATTAAGTCCTTTCGTCGTTTGTTTTTTATTTAACATATTTTATTTGATCTTAAAATCGATTTAAAATCCCTAATTATCCTACCTGTACAACGCCATTGATAATGCTACTGGTCCTCTTAAATGTAAACGTCAGAGACGACACGCTAAGAAGAGCCTCATCCTCTTTAAAAGGCTCAGCAGTGAAAATTACTATTTCGCACTTAGGGTTCTTTATCTCTCACCTACAGATGTATGAAAGGTAGACTTTTTTTAAACCGAGTAAGAATGTACTCAATTTAAATATAAATAAGATATGACAGTTAATGGTGAGAGGGACAATTAAATATGTAACTAAAGTATTAGCTAGTGACGGTTATTTGGTGTAAGCACTGCACACGCCAGATAGTTTTTTTTTGTTAAATCTATATTGTACATTGTTGAAAATAATTCTATGTATAGGCCCACTGCCTAAATCGATACAATAGAAAAAGAAGCAATATTTTTATTACACAAAATTATATTATTACGATTCATCTACTTATGGTAAGCAATGTCTTTAATTAGTTATGATAAGATTTAATTTCGCCTGGCTTGCAGTGAATGATGAAATGGTTGATATTGGATTATTGGACGTAACTTACTATTATAGGAGAAAGTTATTTACTTAGTTCGGAATCAGAATTTCAGTTTCGGAATGTTCGTTAAAAGGCTGACAGGATTGGGTGTGCTTGTATGAAAAGATTGATTGATGAGTGGAAGTAAAACGAGAGAAGTTGGCCAGGATTGTGCATAATGGCGATCGATCTCTACTAACTACAATAGTAATTGAAACGCGTGAGTGTATGCGCCTATAGTCTGTATTTTTTGAAGATGGACTAAAATGATGCTTAATTGCTCAAAAGAGTTGCCCGCATGTAGTCGATAAATATTCTATCGACTATCGACTGCATATTGATCACGCTTAAGCAATAAATAGCCCAAATTGTTCATTGTGAATTATCAATTTTTGTAAGTTCAAATATACGTACACTGCATTTAGAACAATGTCCATTAAAAATACGAAGAGGAGACGTATTTTAAAGTTTTATCATTTTAATTCAATATAGATAACCAAATCCTCCTGTTCTTATTAAAATTTATTTATATTTGAATAAAAATTAATTTCGATGCTATTAGGCCAACTGTCAAAATAAGAATCAAGAAGGCAATAACGCTATTAGTAATTATTAAAATGTCGTCGTAACATTCACAATTCAGACCTTGTTGGCAAAATTTTTCCATTTTTCACAATCTATCGATAAAATTGTCGACTATAACTACAGGACTATTTAAAATTTTATGTAAACTGGCAACCCTACAAATGTCATTTTACTCCGTCTTAAAAAAGACCGACAACGTATTAAAAACTTGCATGATCTGTGTTGGATGTAAAAATTGTGAGTTACGTCCAGCAGTGTCGTATAGTTGAATGTCACGATTCGTTAAATGTTTTGAGTGCATATACGATTATGTGTTGTATTGTTATAAGTCTTAAAAGTATTTATGCATTGGATTAAGTTTATACTGCGCGGTCCATGTGAAGTAAAACCCGCTAAGCGGCTAATGCTTATGTGTAAGAAGAATATTTTCTATGTAACCGAAAACCGTAGATAGATGATAGTTAATTTTATGTGTACTGCTCACGTTTGGAGAACGCAAACTGATTAAAATAATTGCATTTATTAATAATTATGATCGCAAAACATCTTGCGTCTTGCGTGGGTTGATTATGGTTAAGGCAGCATATTTATCGATGCAGAATCGGCTTTAGCCCGGTCAGGAAGAGCTTTATTTCCATGCTGCATGAGCGAACTGGTACATTGTCTGTTAAGGGCGGTAAATAAAGAATTACTAACGAGAGAGTATTACAATTAGGCTTCAATGACTCAAGGTTTGGAATTTCTTACCGCCCGTGCGACATACAACGTTTTTCGTCACATTTGTGAGGAAATAAATACTATTAACTTATTTCTTGTATGAAAAAATATCGCTTCACAACACAACAATTACAGATTTTGTAAATGGCGGTGGTTTTTATATATATAAACAGATGGCCATCTATTCTTGCATAGATAACAAGTAAAAGTGAAGTGTCGTAAAATGCAAAAACGATACAGCACTGATGGTGAAGACTATTATAAAATTAATATTTTCAAAATACTAAGAATACTGCAGAATTTGAATATATAAAATTAGCAAGCGTTTCATTTCTTTCTATTTTTCAAGCTCATATGAAATATATGAGCTCGAAAATAATATTTTAACATTCAATAGTTTAATTTTTAGTACTTTTAATTTAATTTATATTTAAATAGTATTAATTTAATACTATAACACTTTTTAGCTTAGAACAGATGACAAGTGTGCACAACATTTAAACGAAATAGATTTAGTTAATTATTTTATTTAAATCATTGACTTACAAATAAATGGACGACGGGTCTAATACAAAAACTACGAAAAAAATGTCCCAAGTCAACCTATTTAAACGTAGTGACTTGTAAAGGAATATGAAAAAGCTAAAACGTTGAATTTAAATTGTAATGTCATCGCAATACTGTATAATTTTGCTTGCTTCGCTGTCAGTCGAACAAACGAAGACTAAAGCGTGAATGACGCTCTGTATACGATTTTAACGCCCTATAAGTTCGGACACTTTTTAGCGCGGACCCGACGTCCGTATAATTGTAAGTCAATGATTTAAATATAAAAAAGTACGTCTATGAAATTAAAAAAAGAGAAGTCTACAAAAATAAGCAAAATGAACGCATCTTGAACCTAGCTTTGAGACCTCATGGACGCTATAAATGATTATCAAACATCAGTGCTAACCTTGTTATAGTTACTCCACATACGAAACAACGGATAATTGCACGACAAGTATGTCGTTAGTGGCACATAGGAAAGTTTTTGCGTGCGGTATCTAAGCCCAACCCTATCTAACAATTCACAAGCATCCTACACAGAGTAACCAATTTATACTCGTATAACACCACAAAGCTTCGGGAAGGTGTCAATTTTGAAATACCTTGGCGTTAAAACTTTTTGCTTATTCTTAACGTATACGAGTTGTGTGCTAATTTTGAAGTGCTATTTCATTTTTTTAAATCCAAGGCGGTAATAATAATTCAGCACATTACAGCGGACTTTGCCTGCAAGTTATGACCCTGTTTACGAGCAAGTGTGATGATAAAGACGTTGCGCGATTCACTTCTGCAATTCGACCTAGTACGGCGTTGATAAGTGTGATGATTCCCTATATAGTCATTTATAATCAGAGATTGGTATAAGCAGTAAATTTACCTAAACATCTGGTAATTCATATCGAGTGGATAACATCCGGAAATATTAAGAGGGAGCAGAGGAACAATTCCTAATCTTCGATTTGATTTTAGAGGGGTATATCCACTTTAAAGTTAAAAATAAAATATTGTATGAGTTACTACACGATATATTCAAGCATAGACATTTATCAGAAACATAAAACAATAAAGTTTTCTTGATAGATAAAAATCACGAAATGACCTCTAATTATCAAATTTTTTCGATTTATCCTCGAAATGCTACAGGTTATTTGGACAAAAATTAGATAATTAATTATATTTATGCATGATCGCCAATTGTCACTACGGATTTTCTTTTAATCCCTTTAGTTTTAGAGTTATTCCGCTAAAACGAATTTGGTACTTTTAATGCGCAAAATTCAACATCTGTCGCATGACACGCGAACTTCAGGCATACATTTGTTTGACAAATTTGGGCGGAGCCAACGTCAAACCTTTTTTGCCATGCTCCCTCTTAAGCGAAGCCATTTAAGAATGAGCATTCTTGGATCATACTGTACAATCATCGAGTATATAACCAGAAATAGAGACGAAACGTCGTTTAATTTGCTTGAAAACTATTTTGCCATATCATTACTGTGACAACTGCGCTCCGATTGGCTAGACCGCGTTCGAAACAATTGACGGGTGCCGTCAATGGGTGTCGTCAACTGTTTCACTTCAAATCGACCAGTTAAGTTGAACTTTGCTATAATGGACGAAAATTGCAAAACTACATATTTAATATTTAATTACCGATGAAATGTGATTCCGTTTGTTTTGTAATTAGATGTTTTGCTATTTTTCCCACGCCACCGAATAGAACAGCACGGCATTGTTAATGATATTACCTTTATTACAATAAATACAGAATATTTTTCGGAATATAGACGTACATACAGGTCAGTAGTTGGCCTGTCTATATTTCAGTGCAAACGGAAGTCGATATTTATAAGAGTTGTATCGCTAATGTGTTACCAGGAATATATGACCCTTATTTCGTCTCTATTTCTGGTTATATACTCGATGTGTACAATGCTCTGGTGCGCAGCACTCTTGAATACTGCTCATAGTTCTGGTTTCTCATATACAACATACACTTAGATAACATAAGAGTTTATTCGGCTCCGATTTCAAGAATGCAATTTATAGGTTATATACTCGATGATTATAGTAAAATAGTAATGTTGTTTGG